TTTAAAAACGTATTAAAATGTATTTTGCTGAAAGATTTCCAAAGCAAGTGTAACAATAATTGTTCTGTAATGAGGCTCTTTTTTTAAATGTACTCATTAATCTTCATTTGTCTGTGGAAGGTTTAGGTTACTCTCTTTAGCCCAATCCCTTGCAATATTTACGAGTCTCCTATAGAAACTGTTACTAATATCAGGCTTTGTGTCTCTTCTCTACACCAATAAAAAAAAAAAAACTGCACTGATGGAACATGCATTGCTGTCAAAGTGTCTATCATACAGGTAAACCCCTGGAATTCAATTCATAATTAGTTGGAATGAAATCATAAATTAAACAGCAGTACACATTCAGGCTTCTTAAGTGTCTCCATGTATAGAAACGTGCAAACTCTAGACGTCAATTAAATTGAACTGCATCATTATTTAATTATGCCTCAATTTAAAAATATGTAACCTGGTTCAAGGATAGATGGTGTATATGTTTCAACTTCAAATTGTTTGCAGTTTATCACTGATATAATAAATAAAATTGACATTGTATAACTATTTTACTTCAATGTCTTTTATAGGTCTTTTTAAGCAGTTAGTAGAAATTCTGGTTGTCATATTTAATATTCAGAGAGAGAAAATGTATAAACCATTAGATCAATATATCTAGAAATTTTGAAATACAAAAATTTATTTAGTGACTTGGCCACTTCATTTAGTCACTCTTCTGCATAATTAGAAGGCTATGCTACTACATACCCTGTCCGATTTAAATGTAAACTTTGTTTCAGAAACGTAGTCAATCCTCTGCAAAAAAACAAGAAGTCCTTGCTGGTGGTTTGTATTGCTAGATGCTAGTTTGGATAGTATGATTTCCTTGGGGAAAAGGATAGCATTTGAACAAAAGGCCAAAATCAATATTTATGCAGAACCCTTTACCCCTTCATAAATTTCACAAACCACTGTGCCATCCATCCCAACCTTACAATATATGTAGTCATTCCTACGTGTCAAAATAAACAGATGACACTGTGAAAAACCCATCAGGGAGAAAGAAAAATATTTTTCATCTGTGCTTTTGTTTTTGCTTTTAAATACACACATAAGGTTCATGCAGGTGCTAAGAAATGTTTTTGAGAAAGCCACAGCAATTGCCAAATTAAATAAAGTTACATAAATAAAATTCCATCCAGGCTGGTTGGAATAATCAGACTTGTTCATTTCCCAAGCTCTATAATAAACAGTTTCAATACTTTTGGAGGAATAACGTTCTGAAAAACAAATTAAACTGAACTGACATTCCAGAAACCTTTATCAACACGGATGCATACATCGTTAAATATATAAAAAGTATTTTGAAATGCTAAACCCTTTTAGGTCAGGAAAAGAAAGAAAAAAATGCTGGTATTGATTGGTATTTTTGCAAGTGTTAGTTTGGATTTGTACAGTCTGCTTCTCTTCACATTCCGTTGAATGTTAGTGGTTTCAAGATGTTTTAAGGCAAAAAAGGTCACCACCTGTGTGTGTTTCTGTACCAGGACTGATTGGCTGTGCTACAGCTGAATCTTGCTCAAATGGTTCTCCACAGCTTCAGTAAGACCTGGCAGACTCTAACCTCAGACACCTGACCCCTCACACGCTCCTTAGAAAACTCACCTCACAGGAGTTATTTTAGTTGAGCGTAGCCCTTCCCAATTACATAGATGAAACCTCTTTATATATGCACATCCTCTGGTCTAATGGCTCACAAAGTCACTGCATGAAGAGTATCTTAGAATCTTGATTCAGCACTGTATTAACTTTTTGCCTGTCCTTGGCAATTACAATCATATACATTTGCAAGTCATTTTCAATCTGATGCATATAGCTAATGATTCTTATTCATATTACATTTGCATTGACACCCTGAAAACTTGATACGCAGCATTTTTTTTTATCATTGGCAGAGTGAAAGCATAATAATTATGCCTGGGATAGGCATACTGACAAGTGGTGTCTAAATGCAGACACAGTATACATTTCTTGGTCTTTAGTGGATGTGTCAAGACACAGTGTGGACAGGAGAGGAAGACAGTGGCTAAAACTTTAAATAAAGAGTGAAAGCAAGTTCTCATAACATGCCTATTCCTGATATGAAATAGCAAAAAAGCATCATGGCATGTAAGAAGAAGACAAGGTATCAAAATAATGACGATTTTTACATGTTAAAAAATGAACATCTATAGCAGTTG